TATATATATATGTATATATATATATATATATATATATATATATATATATATATATATATATATATATATATATATATATATATATATATATATATATATAGGGTTGCCAGATACACAGTTGTCTAGAGGAGGGCATACCTAATTTTAGTAATACCTAATAACAGATGTTTTTTAAGATTGTGGGGCCCTAGTGGTCTTTTTTATAGTAGAAGGGGGGGGGGGGGAAGGGGCAAAACTTTAACCCTCTAGCCACGGTACTGGCGCCGGATGAGAATAATCAACAAAGTGTAATATGGGTTATTGTTATATAAGAACAATATATGTTACAGTACACAAAGACACTGGGTAAATATTATAAATTATTATTTAATAATAATAAAAACGGAAAAATATCAAAACTGTCGCAACAACAATAAACATTCAAACGATTTTTTAAATTATCTTTAACATGTGTTTTTTTCGGGCTACACATCTATTCAACCAAGTTGTTGCAAACTTAGGTAATTTTCTCTACATTACAAACAGCAATTAATATTTTTTAATTAAAAAAATAATGCAACATTCAGGTATACAGTGTTATAGTTTGTTAAATTATTTACAATAACATATTTGTCAAAAATATCATATTTCTTGGAGGAGCCAACTTTATGCAGAAGACTTTTGTTAGCAATCTTATATTTATAAAACTGTTCAAAGGTAAGATTCTTTAAATTATTATAAAAGTTTGTTACTTTCCTTGGTCCATTGAGCACTAATCAACAAGAACACTCTTTCAATATTTCTGTTGTGTCCTGGGATACAGAAGAATACTTTGCAAACTTTAAGCATCTCTGAGAAGCAACTCACATTTGGACAAGTTTTCAAAAATAAAACCCAATATTCATCCAAGGTTATTTCAAAAAACCTCTCATTTTTGTCTTGCACAAATGATTTAAGAGAACAGTATTGGTCAAACATTTGTACATCATCCAAAAGGATATTATCCCACCTTTTAATACCTTTTATTTAAATTCCTTTTTATTAACCCCCTCCCCCTCCCACCTTTTTTTTTCTTTAACAACCCTTACACCTTTGAAACCATGTTATTGTATAATAAAATGATTTTTTTTAATTAACTTTTTCGCTTAAAAGTATTTAAAAATTGTTAAAAAAAAAGTTATGGAGTTTAGTACGCATTTTCAAAACTTTTTTTCTTTCTTTTTTTTCCTTCCTGATTCTCGCGGAATTGTCGATATATACATTAAAAGTTAAATTGTGTTATTTGCATATTTTAAGATACATTGTAGTTAAATTTAATTTTAAACTGTGTTAAAAATCATTTAAAATAATATAACAAAAATTACTGATAAGAGCTAAATTCAGTATTTATAAAAGATTATATTTCCTTAAAATTAATTTTTTAAACAACTTGTAAACATAGTAGGACCTGCTCTTGCAGCCAACCTTCAACCATTATCACATCGTTGTAATGTTGTTTCTCTTTCTTTTTTCTACAAATACTATAATGGGCATTGCTCTAAAGAGCTAGCATCTCTTGTGTCATCTACTAAAATTCTTTCTCGTGTCACTCGTCATTCAATTAAGTCTGATCCTTTTTCTGTGACTGTTCCTAAGTGCTCTAAAAACTCTTATTCTTCTAGTTTTTTTCCTCGAACATCAGTTCTTTGGAATTCACTTCCTTCATCTTGCTTTCCTAATTCATATAATTTGCAATTTTTTAAGTCGTCTGTCAATCGTTATCTAGCTCTACAATCTTCATCTTTTTTCTTCCAGTAATTTCCAACTCTAATTAGTGGTTGCTTGCAGCCTTGTTGGAAGCAATGATGTTTAAAAAAAAAAAACTTTAATTTTTTTTATGTATCACTTTTATTTTATTACTATTATTATTTTTTTAATGTGATACTAGTTGACTGGACCCGTAAAATTATTTGCCACATTGAAGTTTTATTCAAAAAAAACATGCCAATGGTACAAAGTATGATATAATTAATAGGAGATATGACCTCCTTTTGCTTTTACAAGCGTTTGAACACAATTTGGCATGGGTTCGACCAAAGTTGAATACATTTTAGTCACATGCTCATCATGATACCAGGTCCTAATTACAGCACTAATTAGCTTTGCCATTGTCGAACAGTCTTCTTTCAGGAGTCTTTGTTTGATTATAGCCCATAAGTTTTCAATGGGATTGATGTCTGGAGAATTTCCAGGCCAGTCTAAAATCTCCAGTCCACTTTCTTCAAAGAATGTGCGCATTTTACGTGAAGTATGGCATGGTGCTTGATCTTGCTGAAAAATACCATCTCCATCAGGAAAGTCCCTTGTCATACTAGGAAGCAAATGAGTCTCCAAAATAGCCTTGTATTTATCACTATTCATCATTCCATTATCAATCATCATTCCTCTTCATCAATGAGTCGTCCAAGGCCTTTAGCACTAAAACTACCCTAAAACATCTTAGGCGGATGTTTGGGTGCTTGTTGAATATGTCCTGACCGAAGCGGTTCACCTTCGCTTTATCTCACAAACTTTGACCTGTAGCCATGGACTTCAAAATGCGATTCGTCGGAGAATACTACTTTTTTCCAGTCGTCTGCTGTTCATCGAGAATACCTACGTGCCCATTGAAGACGTTTTCTCTTTATAACCGATGTCAATAACTGTTTCTTTAGAGGTTTTCTTGCAAATCTGCCAACTTCAAGGAGCCTTCGTCGGACAGTTGAAGAAGAAATATTTAAGTCTGATTTGGACAAATCTCTCTGAAGGTCTGCACTTGTTTTCTTAGGATCCTTTATACTTTCTCTGATGATAACTCGCGAGGTGTTGTCTTGCGTTTTCTTCCACATCTTCCTTGTCGCAGTGTTGAAGATTCACAAGTGTCTTTTTTTCTTTTCAAGATGTCACCAACAGTTGACTTAACCAGCTTCATTTTCTTAGAAATCTGTCTAATGCTCAAACCAGCATGTTCTTTAAGAGCTATAATACTTGCACGTTTCTTGTGAGTGATATCCATTGTGAATACGAGGTGAATAATCTGTCACAACCTCTGTCACAACCTTTCTGCACAAAGCCTGGAGTAGCACTGAAGCCACTGATGCGTTTGCTAGAATGTCTTCCCGGCAGCAAAGAGTTACTAGACACCACTAGACTACAGTAAAACACTTATTTATCTGAAAAGACAAAAGAATCTTTAGTATCATAGCTAAAAGTTGCGCATATTGTAAAAATTATTCCAATTTTTCCACTGTCCGAACTAATTTGCACAATACTGTATCTTTTCCACACCTATCATTTCTATACTTATTCCTTATTTACTTCATTTTTTTTTTCATTTAAAAAAACTGCGTTTTTGAGCAAAAAAAATTAACATGCGCACTTTTTCTGTATATGTAGAACTTATAAGAGATTTATAAAATGGTTTCTTTAACTCTTACATGCCTAACTATAACTATATGTATATTTTTTATATATCTTTATATACGTTATTTTCGTTTATTATAGTATATAATATACGTTATTTATATAATATCTATAGAACTTCAAAAGTATTTTATTTGGTATTTTAAAAAATCGAAAAAAAAATTAAAAAAAAGAAAAAAGCACAAGTGGTAGGATTTGAACCACGGCAATGCACTTTAGAATCTTTGTGAGCTAACCACTTTGGCCTCTAAAGCGTATTGTCCGATAAAAATTTTAACACTATTTAATAACAAAAGACTTTACAAAACGAAAAATAAATTCTATAAATCAAAATTAAGGATTTATTGCTGCAATTTAGTTTTCAAGTAAAAGTAAAACTGTAGAACTTGATATATGTTTCAACATTACATAATTTGAAGTTTACATAAGTAAACAAAGGTATTTGCATACACTTTGGTTCACATTTTCATATTACTATTTTAATTCCATCTCACCATTTTAAAGGAAATATTTTTCTTAAAGCTAAAATTAAAAAAAACAAACAAATGTGTTTAACTATCATTTTAAAGTAAGTATTATCCCCTTATGAGCTAGAGGATGCCTGCGGATACATGCAAACCAAGCTCTGCAAATTTAAGTTTTTGGGGAATATTAGAAAATCACCCCATAAAAGTGGCATTCTTGGGTCATCTAGGTTGACATTGTCAGGATCTGTGCTAACTGTAAAAATATATTTAGAAATTTACAAATAATTTGTACAAATTTAAACTAATGGCTAATGCATCAGCTGATGCATATCATATAGATCAGTATCGGCCTGTACAAATATATATTTTAGCATATATACTAATCTTAAATTTATCTACAGATTTAAACCTTATTTAAAAATCTTTTAGTATTAAAAAGTAATTACCATTTACAACTCCATCATTTTGAAAGGGATGTTTTTTTACATAGTCATAACTTTTAAACGTTAAAAGATTATTAAAGGAAACTCAAAACCTGTCGGTAAAATTAAATTTAGAGCTTAAATTTATATTTTATAAACTTATTACCTTAACGTTTGGGGTAAGAGCAGCGAACTATTAGGGTATTTTTGTTCCCAGGTTCTAATCACCCCAATTTTTTCCAAACATTTTTAAATTTTTTTTTCAATTTCTAAACAATTTTTTCTCATTTATCGTAACCATAAACACAATGGCTGAAAGTGTCATATCTTTTACATAAAAAGATTCTGCCTACGCTACTGCTAAACTGGCTCAAACCCTCTAGAAACTATAACCACTGCCAGAGCTAAAGTGGTTTTAACCCTCTAGCCACTGATTAAATTGTTATATAAGTTATTAGTTTTTATTCTATTTAACAAAAATTTAATTCTAATTTTTATTAAAATAGATATATTTAACATATGAAATTTACACATTTAGTATATTTAAATCTATGAAAAAAGGATTATTTTATTATTAAAGTTTAAATATTTTAGAAAATAAAAGTAAAATTTTAAATCTAAATAATTCAATTTTTATTGTTTTCGATATTTATATGAGTTTTTTTTTGTAAATTCCGGTGATATACTTTAGGAAACTGTGTTGTTTCATGGTAACGATGACGTAGTTCGACTGCACCAAAAGTTAACATGGCCCAAGAAAAGTCAATGTCGGTACGTAATGACAAAACTTGATCAGCTATCTCACGCTTGTGAGACCGAACTTTCTAAAATGTTTCACAGTAAAGTTATACTCACAGTTGATATTAGTCAAAAGCATAACATGACCAAGGATGATTTAAAGTATTACTGAGAATTTAATAATTCGTATTTATTAAATAAACATGAAATTCAATTAGTAAGTCATGTTTTTATTTGGGATAAAACCTCAATATCGTTATTGTCATGGATATCGCGTAGTTTTTGTCGCGCCATTTTATTTTGATCGTCTTTGTTAAACTTGATTATTGAAAAAAATAAAAATGTAAAATTTAGTAACTTTTTGTCTAACCCATAGAAGATGATTTATGAAAATAAATACAATAAAATTTTTGTTTAAACATTTTTTATAACATAATTTTAATTGAAATGTTTTAAATAATCATTAGTAAACTATTAATTGTTACACCAAGAAATTATAAATCAAAAAATCAATTTTGAATATAAATCCGAAAAGTCAAACAAAAACAATAGTAAAATTCATTCGAATTCAAATAATCACGTGGCACTGTCTAATAATCTCGTGCATTATCTCGTCGACTAAACAAACAAAATATACTAAAACCTATCTGAAATCTTTTTTGTTTGCAGTTTCTTCTGTACAGTTTTCCCATTCAATTAGTTTGTTCAATTAGTTTGTTAGTTTCAATAATTAAATAAACTTTTTAAAACGCGCTCTCGTAATCGAAAAGCAAAGACATGATTGTATCTTGTAAAAAAAAAAGGATTTCTTTAGGGTTTTGTGTAGTTAAGGTGACAAGACCGATTACAGCGTAAGTCTAAGGAGCTATGCTTTGCCATACTGTGCCCAGTATACTAGCCATAAGAACATTCATAGAGCGGAAACATAAATGAATAAAACAGAAGCATACAAATGCTCAAAAAAAAACATTGGATGTTTTTTAAATAAGATTAAAAGTCTGGAAAAAGAAATTAATACAAAGCAATTAAACAATAGTTATCGATCGCTATCGATCGATTTCGATCGATAGTTATCCATCGAAACAAACAGCTTATCGATCAAGTTACTTAATTCGCAATGAGGTTTTGTCTATGGAAAAAATTTACTTTGAATTCAGCCTCCTAAAAAGATAAATTGCTAAAGGTCAAAACTGAAAATTAACTAATTAAAAAAGTTCTATTTTGTGTTTCAGTTTGCAAGGGAGAATTTTTCTAAAAAACTATTCTATGTGAAGATATACTGTTATGTAAAAGTGTGACAACAACCGCATAAATTCCGAAGCATTAAACGGAGCGTTTATGCACGTCAACAATAGCTTTATTATTCAGTTACAAAATTTACAAAATTACAAAGGTTAGGTACAAATTTACAAAGATTACAAAACCTTGGCCAAGTACACAAAAACCGTGTAAATCAAAGAACTACGACAAACAGAAAGATCATTAAAAGTAAATGAAATAAGCATTAAAAGAATGACCCGTAAAGTTTTTTTTCAAGACATCAATCTTAAGCAAATTTTATTAATTTTTGTAATGTCCACATCATTTCAAAAAAATTACACGTATCGTCCTGATATACGCTTGTAATAGTGCGTGCATTAAATTAAAATGCAAAATACATTTCATGTCAATTTAATTTTTTTAATTTATTTAATAACTGTGTATATGTACAATGACAATGTACATATCTACTAGTACAACTACTTACATATGTACTAGTTGATTTAGGCTTTAACAGCCGATTTATGTTAAAAATAAGTCCAACTTTGATTTAAATTGTTTAAGTGTTTTAGAATCTACAATGTTTTGATCTAAGTTATTCCAGCTGTTAATAACACGGTTCGTTAAGAAATAGTGCCTCTTTGGATTTTTAGTTAATTGTCTATGAAACCTTATACTGTCACCTCTTATTTTTGAAGCTATTAAATCTGGTGGGTATTCCAATGTTAAATTATCTATTTTTTTTACAATTTTTTAAAGTTGGATTAGGTCATTACGTTTGCGTCTTTTTTTAAGAGTCGTTAATTTAAAGTAGGCTAGTCTACTTTCATAGTTTTTTCCTTGAAGACATTTTATTCGTGTTGCTTTACGTTGTATCGATTCAATTTTATCTTGTTCTAAGTAAGGATACCACGCTGAATTTGCGTAGTCTAGATACGGTCTTACAAGAGAGGTGTACAATAATTTAGATGCGTTTATGTCTAGGTTTTTAAATGAATGTTTTATTATTCCTAACATTTTCTTAGCTTTACCAGAAACATAATTAACTTGACTAGACCATTTTAAGTTGTTTGAAATCATAACTCCTAAATCTTTTTTAATTTTGGTTTCTGGTAGCTCAACTCTATTTAACACTGAATCATACGTTGTGTTCGTATAACATTTATTTTAAATTATAATAAGTTTATAAATAATGAAGATAAATTTTTTTACAATTGAAGGATAAATCATATAAGTATGATATATAATAAGCTTATTTAGTGTTAAAGCAAACTTATTTGTTTATGCTTATTTGTTACGTTTTGTTCGGCTACAATTTTTTTAAATATTTTTACTTTTAGAAAAAATTCCTTCGGTAGCAGTTTTAATTGTAGGGTTAGCAAAATTAGATTTTAACGTTAAATGCCTTCTAAATTTGGTCCTGCAGATCTGAGAAAATGAGAATACTAGTTTATTTTAACGCTGTCGTTTAAAATAGCCGTTTTGCTATTAGTTCAGGGTTTTACGAAGAGAAGTAAGTACGACTGCAGGATCTATGCAGGATCTACAAAATATGTTTTTTTTTTTTTTTTTTCTTTTTTTTGGTTTTTAAATTTAACAACTTTGTGATTTAATAAATATTCGTTAACAATGTATATATATATATATATATATATATATATACATGATCGTTATTAAGAAATAAAAGAACGCGGGAACTCGTAGAAGACCGTAAGGTCTTGTCGTCGAGAACCGCTAAATTTAAATTTTCATGTTAATATTTCGTATTAATAAAATATTCTCAAAATAAATAAACTTTCAATAGGAATATATACTTAACATACTTGAAGATAACAAATAATTAAGAATTAAGAATTGAAAACATAAACAAATTTAAAGAAAAAAAAAAAAAAGAAAAACGGTTCCGTTATAAATACATAGATGCGTTATACAGTTTTAAGATATCTTTAGCACAATTGTTAAACTTTTTGTTAAAGGTTTTGTTATACAGTTTTAAGATACCTTTAACAAAAGTGTTTTAATAAACTGCATTAATAAATTTTATAATTTAACTATTTACAAATTGTTAAATTATAAAATTTATTAATGCAGTGTTAAATATAAAGTTAAAAAAGAAACAAAAAATTAAAAGAATATAGATATATCATCTAATAAAAAAATGACTTTTTTAAGTTTTTGTTTGAAAAAGTGATAGCTAACTTCTTGAGAAAAGTCAAAATTCTTTAAAACTATTTTATTCCAAAGTAATGCTCCTCGAAATGAAATACAGTATTTTCCAGAATTAGTTTGATAAGCTGATTGACGAATATTATTATCATTTCGTAAAATGTACTTAGTTTTTTCTTTTTTGTTATACAAATTATGAAAAGGTACAGGAGAAATATTGTTTTTACATTTAAACATAAAACATATAACGTTAAAAATATTAAGCTTATATATATTTAAGACTTTCATTTCAATTAATAGAGGCTTGGCATAAGTAAATCGATCCTTAAAATTAATAAGGCGTGCAACATGTTTCTGTTGACGATAAAGAGGTTCCAGTTTACTTTTATTAGTACTACCCCACGCAATGTTCGCATAGTTAATGTGACAATGAATGAGCGAATAATATAGTTTAAGTAATGTATGTTTATTTAAAAAACATCTTGCTTTGTACAAAATTCCTATGCTTTTTGATATTTTACTACTCAAATTTTTTATGTGACTTTTCCATGACAAATTTTCATCTATATAAATACCAAGAAAGTTTGTAACTGTTACTTTTTTCAGAAGTATATTATCAATAAAAAGCAGTGGCATTTCATTTGGTATAAGATTTTTTTTGTGATTTGGATGGAAAAAAATCCATTTCGTTTTATCAATATTAAGAGACAGTTAATTTGTTTTAAACCAATCAGAAACTCTTACTAGTTCATTATTGATATTCTGAAATAACAATGTAATATCATTATGAGATAAAAATAAGTTCGTGTCATCTGCAAACATAATCGTCATTAAATTTGAGGCTTTATGGAGATCGTTGATGTAAATAAGAAAAAGAAGAGACCCTAATATTGATCCCTGAGGAACTCCACAGGTTAAATCAAGCAAGTTTACTGGTGAAACTACATCAACGTATACAAATTGCTTTCGATTATTTAAATAGCTTTTTAACCAATTTAAAACACTTCCGTTTATACCGTAAATCTTTAGTTTATTTAAAAGAATATTGTGGTCTATTGTATCGAAAGCTTTTAGCTAAGTCAATAAAAACCCCAACTGTATATTGGAAGTTTTCAAAAGAGTTAGTAATACTTCTTGTAAACTGGAGAACTGCGTGTTCTGTCGAGTTATTTTTTTTGAATCCATATTGATTGCTATATATTAAATTGTTTACAGATAAATGATTATAAATTCTATTGTATAAAATTCTCTCCAAGACTTTTGAAAATGCAGGTAGAGTAGAAATGGGACGATAGTTGCTAACATTAGTTAAATCACCTCCCTTAAATATCGGAATCACCTTTGCTATTTTTAGTTGGTTAGGAAAAATTCCTTGCCTAATAGAACAAGAAAAAATTTTAAAAAGTACATCTTTAATGATTTCATATGATTTAATAACAATATTTACATTGATATCATCCGCACCTGCTGATTTGTTGGGTTTTAGCATTTTAAATGCGCATTCAAACTCTTTAAAAGTTAATTCAAACGAATTAAATTGCGATGTATTAGGGATAAATAGATTACTTATTGGATTAATTGCTTGAGGAATTTTTTGGGATAAATTTGGTCCAACAGAAACAAAATATTTATTCAGCTCGTTAGCTATCTCTTCTTTATCATACAAAAATTTATCATTTGATTTGATGGTTTTAGGCAATGTGAGTGTGTTCATTTTAAAACTGCCTGTGATTTCCTTTATAACTTCCCATGTGCGCTTAGAATTTAATTTATATTTCTCAAGTAAATCATTGTAATAATTTTTTTTAAGATTTTTTCTTTGACGTTCGAATTGTTTGGCGTAACTTTTATATATAGCTTTACTCTTATCTGTTTTTAGTTTTAGGAATTTAATGTACAATTTTTGTTTGATTTTGGATGATTTTCTTAATGTGTATAAATATATGTCGTCAAATAGTGCAAAACTCAGCCAAGCACTACTTATTAATGTTAGGTCCATTTAAAAATTTTACGCACTAAATGAACTTTAGTTCATAAGTTCAAAATAAAAGTGGTATGAGAAAACATTGGCGGGTGATTTGAATCAGCATGGATATACATTAAACTATACCCATGTTTAATTATTTTTTTTAACCTTGTATATATATATATATATATATATATATATATATATATATATATATATAGATATAGATATAGATATAGATATATACGTGGGGGTGGGGGGATGTAATTACAACTTTTGCCGACTGACTGTCTAAATTTACCTACCTACTTGTTGAAAAGGTTTACATTTGCCGACTAAATGAACGAAAAAATCATAGATGGGGGTGTCACACCCCCCTATCGCGCCGGCCTTGTATATATATTATATATATTTATGTGTTATATATTATTATTATATATATATTATTATTATCTATATATTATTATTATCTATATATTATTATTATTATTATATATATATATATATATATATATATATATATATATATATATATATATATATATATATATATATATATATATATATATATATATATATATATATTATATATATTATTATATAAGTATATATATATTATTATATATATTAGGGTGGTTTTTTTTTCAACTTTTTTTTCAAAAAACTAGGCACAACCTCTAAATGTGTGCAAAATAATCAAATAACACTAGGTTTAAAATTTTTTTGAATAAAAAATATTTTAAGGGGTTTCCCAAGACTCTTGAATTTTTAACGGGTAGGGAGCCGTTAAAAATTCAAGGGTCTTGAATTTTTAACGGGTCCCTACCCGAAATAATATTTTAAAGTTTTTAAATATTAAAAAAAGTTTTTGAAAAATAGGTCAACCTGGAGCTCAAATGAAGCGAAATTATATAATAATTTCAAAAACAATTAAATAAATAAAATAATTAAATAAAAAAAATTATTATTTTAGGTTTTACTGCATAAAAAATAACATTTTTTAACAAAAAGTGCACTTTTTTAAAAGTTTTTTTCATGATACTTTTGATAAATAAGTTCGTAAAATCATTTTTGTTTAAGATAACTATTATTTTTGAAATTTTTATATAATTTCGCTTCATTTGAGTACCAGGTTGATCTATTTTTGAAAAACTTTTTTATCTTTTAATATTAGGGACCCGTTAAATATTTAAGGGTCTTGCACACATTTAGAGGTTGTGCTTAGTTTTTTGAAAAAAAGTTGAAAAAAAAACCACCCTAATATATATATATATATATATATATATATATATATATATATATATATATATATATATATATATATATATATATATATATATATATATATATATATATATATATATATATATATATATATATATATATATATATATATATATATATATATATATATATATATTCATGTGACCTACTGTACGATAATGGCCCACACATGTGGAAGGATGGTAAAAAAAAAAGATGTAAAAATAGAAAGAAAACTGATAACAAAAATGCTTCTGATAATACATCTGAAGAAGCTTTTTTATTAGATAATAAAATGAATAAACCCCAGCATCAACACTTAAGAAATAATGCAAAAAGCAAATAGCAATTTACATCCACCATACAATAATGCACGTGAGACAAAAGAGAGGTATTTTTGAATCATGGAAATTAACAGATTATTCTGCGGCAGTAAATTTCCAAGCATTGGTAAATCATTCAGTGCTAAGGCTGTTGGAAGTTTAATGGTGTTATCAATTAGTTAGGTTTTTAATGTTTGATTATGTATATTTTGATCTGTTTATGTTTCTGTTTTTTTTCTCGAATTTGAATACCGGTTCTTCTAGTAAATATGCATACCGGTTCTTTTACCGCTGCTTAAGTTTTTTATTCAATTGTTAGCATACTTTTTCCATTTTACAATTTGGCTATTGTAATACAGAATCTTTTTTTCCTATGATTTTTTATTGTTCAATACTACGTTTAGTATGAGTAAGACTGTATTATATTTTCATCATTTTTTTTTTAATTTTGTAAATTAAAGTTTATATACGGAATTACATATTTTTGTCAGATACAAAAATTCAAATGAGAAGGTAAACTAAAGTAGCGCCCAGTAGCAGCCAGATTTATAAAATTATTAATTAAACATATATTCTTGGGTTCACATTTACATCACAAAATGTAAAACCATTTTAGATAGGGGAAAACATTGAACAAAACGCGTTATATATATGTTTCGTTTAATGTTTTCATTGCTAAAGTTGCGTAAAAATACTGAAAAAACCCATTAATGACAAGTTTTGCTCAATATTTTCCTCTAACCAAGATGGAAGCACGTTTTGTGACACAAATGTGACCCCAAGGATAGGCTTTAAACCATCTGGGTTTAAAGCAAAATGTAGCAAAAAAAAACATATTCAGTCATTTAAAAGCAAAAATTATACCATAAAATATATCAAGCATGTTTAAGGTTGCTATGAAACTGCTCATCAATGAGTAAACACCTTTTAATATGCAAATTATATATATATATAGGGTAACATTTTTAATATTTTATATTAAAAAGCGCAATATTTATTTATAATATCTCAAATTTTGTAAACAACATTTTTCTTATTATAACTTTTTTTCCTAGTTTACATACACCCAGAGCCGGGGTTGGGCTATCCCACACGAACCCTCTAACCTTGCAAATTTGGAGAATCTTTTAAAAATAATGGAGCATTTCTATTCTTTTTTTAAGTAATATCTGGTGGAATTTTTATGATGTTGGGGCCTAATGACAAGTTGTTGCTTGTTTGTTTGTTTGTTTTGTTGTTGTTTTATGAGGGAGGGGGGGGGGGATTATTTGACCAACTAGCCACGGCACTGTATACCCTTTCACTTAAACAATATGATTATTATATTTGTAAAATTTAAAAATTGGGTGAAAACGAAACTGTATTTGCATCTTGTATTTTAAAACACCAATTGGTTTTTTGAAATACTATTAACGCTATTTTATACAAATAAGTTTACTTTTTGCGCTTAAAAAAAAATTCCTCACTCTCGGTTTCTCATAATGGTTGGTGTCCTTCAAGTTTAGCTTCTTTAGAAGTAGTTTTTGCAATTTGTGTTTATTTTTTGTTACTTTAATTAGAGTTATTGGCAGTTTTTAAAATTTTATAAAATTCGAGGTAAAAATTGCATAATAAGTCATCTTGCCCCGGTCACGTGTCCAGATGACAAATTTATGAACTTTTTATTTTAATATTTATTTCAAATTGTTATATTTGCAAACTGAAAATTCATGCAGGCAATGAGAGAACTTAATAGCATAAACATACTGAGAAAGTATTATGGCTGATATATATGATGGTTTAAAACTATTATGACATTGGAAACCTTGTTTTCAATTCAAGTTATGTCATTTAAGTTCAACAAATGAAATAGCTATAAGTTATTTAATTAGTTTCACATAACATTTGTTTAAAATTAGCATAAAGTTGTTATAAGGAAAAGTTATCTAGAGAGAAAAATGTCACTGATTTGTTCTTTTTTTGTTCTTGGAAAAAACAACGCCGTTTTTAAGCTGCTTAACGACATCAAAAAAAAAATTTACACAACATTTTAACACATCGTTATAATATTTATAATATTTACAAACTATATAAACTAAATTTAAGCATTTTGTCATACATTTATATATCAAACCCGTTTAAAGTAAAGATACCATAGCTTTTTATTTCGAGAAGTTCTGTTGATTTTTTTATATGGCTCATAAAATTTTTCAAACGTAAACTTTTTAAATTCGCAATAGACAAGAGTGATTCATATTATAAAATGTTGATAAAGGCAATAGAAGAGAAAATACACCTTTTTATTGAGAAAATCGTAACAGTAAGGAAAACACATCTAAAAATAAGTTTAATTCATAAACGGATACTCAAACTTCATCTTGACATATCAAAAAAGTTAAAAATCTTTTAACAAATTATATAAAGATTTATATACATAAATTTATTAAAATCAAATAAAGTAGTCTCCAGCAAAACTTTTTGCTAAAAATTACAAGGAAAAACGTTGTATAAAATAACCGTTTTTCAAAATTCAAGTTTTTTATGTTTTTTTTATCAATATTTTTATTAATTTGTCAATTTATATTGTTGTTTATTAAATTATATTATATTCAATCGTTTTAATTTTTTTTTTCTCACAGAAAATACAGTTTAATTAGTAATTTAAAATCACTTGTAGTAGAAAGCTACAAATAAAAATTATTAATTTTTCAAAATAAATTTTATAAGGAATATAGATTATATAAAGATTGGCAAAATATTGAAAAAATAGCATAAAGTTAACTAGAAAAATGCGGAATTATTATATTAAACTATTTTGTCGTAAACTATTTACAAAATAAATTCTATACAAAATTCGTATATAGTTTATACAACTAAACGATTGTTAAACAGCAACACTTCTGTCGCTTTGGTATGTAGCTTCTGTTGACTCGCTTAAATCTGCGCGTGACAGGTGAGCAACAATACCGGCACCGAAAGCGTCGCCTATGATTAAATTTAATTATGATGTAATTTAAACAAGGAAGCTGATAAATAAAAAGAGCAATTTTTTTGAAAAAATCTTTAAAATATCTTAAAAATATAACCATAAAAATATAAAAATATAATTATTCTTAATAATAATAATTTAAAAAAATAATTAAAAATTAAATAATTTATTCCAGAAACGAAGCAATAAGAAACACATCAATAAGAAACGAAGCAATAAGAAACACAGAAAATAAAGACAAAAAATACAGAAAAATATTACAAACCCAAAACGTTAACTGTTGTTCTCAATCTGTCTAGGAACCAATCGACTGCAAATATTAGAGTGACTGAGTCTTCTGGTAAACCAAGAGTTTGAAGAACTACCATCATTGTGACGAGACCTGCTTGTGGAATTCCTGCTGCTCCTATTGATGCTAAAGTTGCAGTCACGCTTACAGCAATATATTGTCCAATACTTAGTTCTAAGCCGGCAGCTTGTGCAATAAAAATGGCAGCAACAGCTTCGTAAAGCGCCGTACCATCCATGTTTACTGTTGCACCAACTGGCAGTACAAAACGCGTAATTCTTTTATCTATTTTGTTATTTTCTTCAAGACATTTAAAAGTTACAGGTAATGTCGCTGAGCTGGAGCTTGTTCCAAATGCTGTAATCAATGCCTGTAGCACACCTGTATACAAATTTTTTTTAATTACCTCTAAAAAATAGAACTTAGAATATTGTATTAAAAAAAGAAAAAAGAACTTCTCCCCATTTCTGCTGCTCTTAGTATTCAAAAAAATTCCTCGCCTTTTATAATTATTAATTGTTAAATTACACTGATGGCTAAATTTCATATTGAAAGTTTAATTTTACATTAAACAGTACAACGACGAACATCTAAAATGCCTTCTAACATAAATGCATAAAATTTTACTTTCAAGCAGGGTTCAAACTTTTAGAATACAGAATCATTTATTTTATAATAAAAATATTTGTTTATAACCATAAGAGTTATTTTGAAACTTATTTCAATAATAGTAAACTCAAACATTTAATAATCTTACCTTTTACAAATGTAAGAGGGTTTTCTCTTGTTACCATAAGATATATTGTAGGCAATATAAAAAATGAGTGAATAACTAATCCAACTATTACAGTAGCCATGTACATGCCTAAACTTTCAAATGTTCCACTAATATTGTTCATTTCGGAAAACTTAACAGCAACTAAGCTGCAAATTCCGACAGGTGAATACCACATTACCACGGTAACTAGTTGCATAATAACATCATTTAATGTTGCCATCCAAGAAACAAACGCCTCTGCCCGAGTTTCCATATTTCCCAAAACTATACCTACAGCTATAGAAAAAACAACTAGGCCAAGAATGTTTGTTCCTGGAGAAAAATTACCACTACCAGCAATTTTAATATCTCTCCACGTTTCGTAATAAGTTATATTGGTACCGTTAACTTCCGATGTTTTAAACTCGTAAGTTTTTCTTAGATAATCAGTTAAATTTTTTGGTGCAGAAAAATTTACTTCATGCCTTTTTAAGTCTACTTTGATTACTTTTACATTGGTTTGAAACTGCTGAAAAGTTGCTTGAACGAGATTTTCAGGAAAACAATTTCGAATTAGGTCTAGAAATGAGTCTAGCGCGCGAACGTCTTTATTACTTTTTGCTGAAGAACTCGCAACTCCAATACCAGGTTTAATTAAAGCCACCAGTGTAATGCCTAAAAAGACTGCTATTAATGTAGTCACCATATAATAGATAATGGCTCGTCTACCAATTTTTCCAGACGCCTTTTGATCTAGATCAGCGAGCCCAACAATAAGACTGGAAACGATAAGAGGGAGAATAAGCATCTTTAACATTCGCATTAAAATTTCACCTAAATGTTACACGCAAAAAAGTTCAGACATCAAAATTAAAAGTTTTAATAAATTTAATTGAAATCTAATAAAATAGTGGCGATGCAATCTAGCAAATAGCGTATATTATTGATATCTTAAATTTAGGAATATTAGATATAAATTCGTTTAACAAAAAAAAAAAAAAAAACTATAGAAACTATAAATTTAGTATTTACCTGGAAAACCAAGAAAAGTAAGAAGTGTAGATTTTTTAGGTTCCTCAAGATTTTGAATTGATTTATTACACGTAAGACCAACCAAAAAGCCCAACAAAACACCAACAATAATAAAGATCATCAATTTATCTCGTTTCCAAACCTTTACATACCTAAATTTAATCAATTTGGTTTAAATTTTGTATTATATTTTATTTTATGATGCAGTCTTCATTAATTACCAATATAAGTTAATAAGTAAATGATATATTTATTTCTTATCGTTATGTTTTAATAAATAAAAAACTAATTGTACATTATTTATGATTAATCTTAATTTTATCATTTTATTATATAAACTATATAAGAATTATATATTTAAGATTAAGATTAGCAATCGTGACATGTCTCACGTTCCATGTGTCTCATGTGCTATGTCTTGCGCATGGTTTTAACAAGCGTTTTCTCTTAAAAATTATTTAAAAGAAAATGTTTATGATGAAAGGTTAGACTAGTATGCCAAATGCGCGTCATGCTATTGTTTTCTTTTGTTTTTGTTTTTGTTTTGTTTTTGTTTTGTCGTTTGAAATTGCTTTAGCAGTTCTTGTCCTTAGATGTTTAATGTAAAAAGATTCACCACGCATTTTTGTTTCTATTATCATTGTATTCTGAAGGGTAAATTTTTAGGAAGAAGAATAAAATTTGAAATCCAATATGTCTATAAAAAGTTAAAAACTTTTTTGAAGCAAGTTTGCAGCAATATGTCATGTTACAATTATTGTAAATTAGAGGGGAAAAAAACACTCCATTTTTTATCAAGCTTTAAAAAGATTTTTCATTACATTGAATAAACCGATAAAAATGTCCAATATTAAAGAGACAAAACTATTGTAGAAAGCTGTAAAAAGAGAATTCTTTACTATAGCCTAATTTTATCATTTTAATTAAGAAGTTTTGAAAGAAGATTTAATTAAAAAAATTTTAATAAATCATACGATAAGTTTTTTTTTTTTTAATTTAGTTCTGTTAATTTTTTAATACGTAAAATATTTTAAAATATGAATTAAATTTTAGATAAAAACAAAATAAAATTTGAACAAAATTAAAAAAAAAATAATTTTTCTTTAAATTTTGTTTGCTCTTTTTTCATTAATTTTTAATTTTTTTTTTTCTTTTGTTATGATGACAAATAATAGTCTACCATTTGAGTTTGATGTATGGTTCGCTGTTACTGCGATCTATATCTTTGCATATACTTCCAGGTGGAGTCGGTTCGTTCAGTCTTATTGTTTCACCAGCACTCAGTAAGCCATGACTGGAGGGCATCTCTCAGCTTTTTATAAAAACTTTTTGAGGTTTTATAAATACAGAAGTTCTGAATGAAGATTCGGTTTGCAAAAGATTTTTTTGAATGCGATTCACTTTGACAACTAAAAAGAAAATAAAAACGCATAAAATACATTATATTACAGATTCAAAAAAATAAAAATAAAATTATTTAACTAATATACTTAAACAAAAATCTGTTTCTCGCGTTTAAAAATTGTTTAAATAACAGATAGAGCGATATACTTATCAGTGTACGAAACGATAGGGAATATCGTGAATTTTATGACGAAAATAAAACTAGTGTTTCTTTTTTAAGTTTGTATTGATTATGGTCAAAAGGAATGAGTTATTTTTCTTTTATTACCTCTAAATATAAGTAAAAAAAACAACAACTCATGACGCAAATGAAAAACAATTTTAAACTCGTAATTTGACTTACGTTAAGATTGCGTTTTAATGAATGATAAAAGTGTATTTTCCTTTAATTTGTTTTGCAGAGTGATGAAAAAGCGCAATTATTACTAAATTACAGTTTTTCGATATCCGGACTGTTTTTTTACAAATTATTTTTTAGCGTAGTTTCTTAAGATGACAACATATCAAAAAATTTTCACTTTTTTTAAAGCAAACTGCGTCAGAACCTATAATTTCGGTTTTTCGCATCAAAAAATATAAATTTATACAACGTTTCTGTGCTAAGCTAAAAGTTTTTTCCTTTGATGCTTTTGTTGATGTGATATGTATATGTATATATATACATAAACATAAGTTCATAAAAAAAAAACCAGCATGAAGACTTTTAATACAGGTATATGTATGTATATATATATATATATATATATATATATATATATATATATATATATATATATATATATATATATATATATATATATATATATATATATATATATATATAGTAAATCAAAATATATTCAATTTTTATTATACAATAATTTCAAATTGAAACATATCTCAAATTATCTCTGTAATTTTATTATCTCTGCAATTCAAAATATTTTAGATAAGCTATAGCTTATATAAAAAAACGTTATGAAATGTTAAACTTAATCATCGACTTTTTTTTTTTTGCCAAATATATTACTAATTTTTATTTTGTGAAAGATAATAACAACAATATCTTACCTTTGAACTTTATTAGCTTACTTCTGTGTGAAAAAACCTCAATGTTATATTTGAATATTTTTTTTTGAGTCTTCATATAGGTTAATTTTTACTAAGGACGCGAATTTAAATTTTAGATTTTTATAGCGTTCTTTCATATCGGGAGTCTCAATGAAATCGTAAAAATAAATTATGAATGATGTTCATTTATAAAATAGCAACCTCGTTTAATTAAAAGATCTAAGTTTTCGTATCCTAAACTTTTTAGAAGTATGGTAACTAACTTTGAATTAACTAAAGGGTTTGAGCACGAATGAGTCAATTCGATTAGGTGAAAATATTTTTTTCTTGGAGTTTTTAAAGAATTTACTGGATCTGAAAACCAACAATTTGAACGATAAATGAAAAATTTGAAAAAAATCCAGCTTATATTTTATTAATTTTTTACGCTTGGGAAAATTATTTATATTTAAAAAATGCCTCTTTTATAATTTAATTCTTAAAATTTTTTTTATAAAATATTAATATTTTTCTATTGAAAATTAAAGTCTTGTGATTTGTGACGTAGAACACACCTCCAGTTTGCTTCTAAATTTTCGAGTGACGTTTCTGTGAATGAAAATTTTCGCTAAACGAGTTTTCGAAAGTTAAAAGAGCATTATATTTTTAAATTTTTGTTATTACAAATTTAAAAAGATCTTTTTTAAAAACAAATAAAATTAAAAAAAATTAAAAAGTAAACAAGTTTAAAGAAGACTTGATGACTTAAAACTTTTTTTATTTTTTTTATTTTCATTTGATTTAAAATGAAAATGATTTAAATAAGTTAAGTTAAACTACATTAAGTGTTGCCAAAAAGAAACGATTAAACTGCTACAAAATTACATAAAGACAAAGTGGATGATCCCAACTGGTTTCAGTACCCTCAAAACATTGTTTAGTGAAAATGTACACTTTCATTGAATTATGCATAGAGATCAGGAAAAAGTTTACATCAAGTTTTTTCTTCCTTCTAGCTATTGATCATCGGTCATCTGGATGATTAAAGGTTAGACTATTGATGCAAATACATGCTCAAAGCCAAAATGTTAAAATTGAACTCAACAAAAAAGTGTTAAACTCTTTTTGTTGAGTAAATATAACGGCTCAATATAATATTGAAGGCATATTAAAGACAATGGCTCAATACAAGAACTGCAATACCCTTAACATTTTACGAATTTGTATTTTAACTATTTTTGTAAAATGTTAAGGGTATTGCAACGTAACGATTTCGTTTTCATTACTTAATCATTTGGAGCCATCAGTCCTCCGCTTGTTTATTTACAAAGTTTTAGATACACTTGTGTAAGGTTTTTTCTCACACCAGACAGGTGCACTTGTTGTTTGAAAACTTTTTGACGTGAAGCAAACTCCAAATCTTTGTATGTTACCATGGTTATAACAAATGATTAAGTGTAGATTTTAAGTTTTACTAATTTCTTTGTGTTAGAAAGTTAAAACCATTGTCATTTCTTAAAACCTTTCATGGTCATAATGGCCGTAAAAGTTTTGAACAGATTCTTTTTCTCACATTTTGGATAGGAAAATAAAAGTTTTCATATCCAAAATGTGACTAAAAGTGCAAAAGTATTTCAAGCACCAAAACATATTACAAAGTTGCATAAAATTGCTTATGACCAGTTTAGTTTAGTCATTATGAATCTTTTTAAATATTTTGATAAGATCTAAAAGTTAAAATACATTGGATGTTTAACAGAGGATGGATCGTAGAGAGGATGTTTAACAGAGGATGAATGGTACAGAGGATGTTTAACAGAGATGGATGGTACAGAGGATGTTTAACAGAGGATGGATGGTACAGAGGATGTTTAACAGAGGATGGATGGTACAGAGGATGTTTCTATGATTAGTAAAAGATCGGCTCACAGTATTAAGGTGATGTATCAAGACAGTTGGGTGGCCTTTGAAAAGCTGAAAGTAAGTAATTTTCAGTGATGGAAAAAACAGTGGTGTATAAAATAAATAGAAAAAAATTTTGTTAAAAGGTTCAAATCTGAAAAATACAGCAATCGCTTTGTTGAACCGTTGCTAGGTGGCGATGCGAGTGTTGGCATTTTGGAACTGCTGTAAATTTAACAAAGTAGGTGTATGTGACATATTTTTATAGGCCGAATCAATCAGCACACCTTTATAGAGCCTTTAACTAGACCTGCAACAATATTGTTAAATCAATGTAAAAAAAATTCTTGCAAAAAAGCACGTGTTTGTATTTCAAATACTAGTCATTGAGCCTATTTTTTTTGGCGCTAATTTTTTTTTTTAATTTTAGAAAGCATTTTGTATAAATTATAATTATAATATAGTAAGTTCCCGTTAATTTAAACCTCCAATTGACCTTGGTAAAAGGTTCGACCAAACTAATGTTCGATTTAAGCGAAGTAAAACAAGTTATTTTTGCTATTGCTTTATGCTTTGGGACTATAGAAAACATTTCGAGATAACAAAAGATTTACCGAGAATTAACTATATTAAAATTTTGAAATTTTAAAAATACTTTTTAACAAATTTTAAAAGAGGTTTTAAATTGAAATATTTTAAAAAGGCAAGTTTTAGCGGATAGTCAATAACATATGCATATTTCCAAATTAAATAATTAGAAATATTTTATTGACGTTAAAATTTTCAACTTTCAAAATATTTTTTGTTCTATTGAAATTAGATTTTTTTGTTTGTATAGTGATGTAAGGTAAATTGTAATATTCGATTATCAAAGCTGAAACGCATCTATTCAAATTTTTAAGGGAATAGTAATGTAATGAATTTCAAGATACATGCGTTTTATTTACTAATTTTAAATAATTAAGACTTAAAATAATTACAAATTAAAAATAATTTAATAATTTATTTCAACAGCGAAAATAATAAATATAAAATAATACATTATTTAGTTGTGTCGCTGTATTTAATTTTAACAGGTCATGTAACACGATTAACATTTTTATAACTTATTATATTATACATAAGTTTTTGTTTTTTTTAATAATTTATTAATTTCGATTTTAATTTTGTACCTACCTTTGTTAAAAAAATGAGCAAGAAGAAACAAGGGCCAAACTATTCTTTTGAAAAATTTTAAATGTCATTTTGCATATTTACATAATTTAACATAATTTGTTAGTCTTTCAAACATTAATATTTTAAAAATAATCAGTTTTTCGTTAAGGTGGCACCTCATGAAATAAAAGCCAATCTTGACAAAAAAAAATTATTAAATTTGACTTATTATTCTTTTGTTTATAGATTACAAAAAATTTTAACTTAACATTTTAACATTAAGTATTAACAATATGGCTTTATGTCTACCAAATAAATTATTTTATCCATAACAACAATATAGCAACCGATAGATGAATAAAATATTGTAATTTAAAGTTAGCGAAATGATAACTTTTGAAAAAGTTATTCAAGTTTTGTTTTAGTTCTTGAAATGATATCGTAATAATCTTGCATGACTCGCCTTAATTTTTTTGTGTTTGTTAGTTTGCTATGCATTGTTTGTAGAACAGTATTTTATTATAATTTATTTTTGATAAAATTAATTTTGCTACTATGTTTAAAATATGTTACAAATTTCTTATTAAAATGACTGGTATATTCTGAGTAAATATTTCTAATTGTATGAGTATTGGGTCATTTTTACTTTTTATTTTTGGGTAATCGAGACAACGATTTTTAAATTTATTGTTAACAACTTTCTTAAATTTTATTTTTTGTAAAAAACTTCAAATTTTTGTTTTTGTTGCTGTATTAAAAGAAAAAACAAAAAAATGGGTAGTTCACTTAAAATGAATGGGTAGTTCCCTTAAAATGTCGCAGTTTATCCTAAATTGCAGTTTTAAAATCTCAGTTCTAAATATAGTAACACTGCTACAAGTTTTTCTTACAACTGCTGTAAATCTAGGCTACTCATTAGAGAAGTTTTTCATAATTAAAATTATAGAAAATGATCAAAGATCCACAAAAAGTACCATGCGTTCAAGAAACCTTGCCAAACTATGCATTGAACAGAAACTCCGTAATAAATTTAACATTAAAGGTGTCATTAATAGTTTTTTTCGCAAAAAAGCAACAAAAATAAACATTTGAAATGTTGTAATCTAAAATAGTTAATTTTATGTGATTAAAATTCAATTTATAATTAACCATATATCTAAATAAACTTTTCGATAAGTTGTGACGTCAGAATAATGGGTTTCTATTTTTTTTTTGTCGTGTTAAAATAATTTTAACTCTTGTTTTTTAATTATTTAAATATTTTACAATTATTATTGTTTAATATTGATATTGATAAATTATGTTATTTATGTTATTTATGCTTTATATTTAATCTCACATTATTATTAATACAGTTTTTTAAATTGTTTATAAATTATTATTTTTGCCAAGTTTATTTAGGTGGTTATCAGGTAAAAAAATTATTTTTTGATTGCCAACTTAATCATATACCGAAATTAGTTTATAAGAAACATACTTATTAATATAAGTAAAAATGCTCAAAAAAATTAGTTTAAATCAATGAAAAAGGAAACATTTTCTCAGCCTCTTTATGACATTATAGGCTAAAACTTACAACACTAATAGATTATAGTGTAATAAAGAAAAGCTTACTAGAAAAACTAAAAATAATAATAATTTTAAAATGGCAACTTTTTCAATTTTAAAGGAAATTATTGATACAAAAACCTAAAGTAAAATATCAATATATTCAAATGGAAACAAGTTTAAGATTAGTTCTAGTAAGCTATTGCAGTTCTATCTATAAAGAAACAACCCTAAAAATTTGAACTCATTTGCATATCTGGTTAAAAAGATATGAATGATTCACTTTTCGCAGTCAGGCAAAAAAATACAATTGAGAAATCAGGCTTCAATGTTTAAAAACAATTTATTGATTAAAAATTTCCTGAAATATAAGAGTCTACTCCTTCTTTTTTTTTCTCCTTATCAATATGATCCTTCCTGATCTCCTTTTCCTTCTAACCATTTTTTGCTTTGGAGTTGAATTTTTAATCGCGTTCTTTACTCTTGATACGTCCTTCTTCCACGATCCTTGGATCATAAAACTTCCAGGCAAAAGCTGCAAATAACCAAATATTCTTGTGAAACCTCTTAAA